AACAGACTGGATGAGACTGGATAGGAAAGGAGAAGCTGGATACAATGAATGGCTCTGGATGATAAAACAAAAGTGTTATTTAACCTAATAGGAAATCACTTCATGCTCTAAATGGCACTTTTGCTTGTATCTGTAATAATACCTTTAGTGAGATATATTTAATACCATAAAACTCACTCTCTTAAAGTATACGATATAGTGGTTTTTAGTATATTCATAAAGTTGTGCAACAACAGTAACTACATAATTTTGAAGCATTTTTTTCCTCAATGGCATCTTAACAACATATACGCAGGTAAGGGGGTGAAGACAAAAAGACTCTATAGCAACACTCTATTTGCAACTTTCTAAATAGTATGTTATCATGGTAACTTTGTAAATGGAAATAAAGTATTCCATAATCCATTGAAAAGAGATTATTGGCAACACTTAGTTACAGCGTGGTCCAGAGCAGTAAATGCCCAGTGGAAGATTAGGTCAACCATAATACAAATATTTCAGGCCAATGGCTTCACTGTTCATAAACATGAGAGAGGAAAAAAGATGACTGTAAGTTTTAGACATGCTGATTCTGTGACAACCATAATAAAAATTAAAGAAAATTATTCCACAGAATGTTGGAAATAAGTAAAAAGTTGGGACTTGGGTTGGAATTAGAAGCACAGAAATGTAAATATCTTATGACTGAGTTACAGGAAGAACAGAGTGTCAAGGATTGGGGCTTGGATAATAACCAGTCAGGGATGTCCTGAGAAGTAGAAGAAAAGAAGTGAAGAAGTGGCATGCTATAAACCAAACCAAGATGTAGTGTAATATAAAGACTGCACGGCATCTTGCCTTTTTTTTTTTTTAACTTCCTAAAGATTGCTTTATCAGTAGAGCTTCCTCATTCCTTTTTTTATAACTTTTAAATTTATGTATAAACTTTAATCAGAGAAGTACAGAAATAACAAATTACATAAAATAAACATACCCACTTAACTATCATCCAGGTTTAAAAAAAAAAAGGTAATACTAGCTAGCATCCCAGGATTCTTCTTGTGACTCCTTTTACTCACTATCTCCACCTTCATCCACAACACCATAGACAGTTCTGCCCGTGTTTGAATGTTAAATTATGAGATTAATTCATGTGTTTTGCATAGCTGAACTTCATTCATTTTCATTGCTATATGGAATTTACTAAATAAATATACCACAACTTACTACTTTACATTCATTCAATTTTATTCTATTTTTCATTCAATTTCATTCTACTTTTGATGGACATTTGTGCTGTTTTGAGTTTCAGACTATTAAAATGATGTTGCTCTTGACCTATTTTTTTTTCTTTTTGAGTCAGGGTTTCTCACTCTATTGTTCAGGCTGGAGTGCAGTGGCATGATCATGGCTCACCACAGCCTCGACCTCCTGGGCTTAGGTGATCCTTCCACCTCAGTCTCCTAAATAACTGTGACTACAGAAGCATGCCACCACGCCTGGCTAATTTTTTGATTTTTTTTTTTTGAGTTTGAGTCTCACTCCGTTGCCCAGGCTGGAATGCAGTGGCAAACTCACAGCCATCCCAGCATCAACCTGCTGGGCTCCAGCAATCCTTCCGCTTCAGCCTTCCAAGTAGCCAGAACTACAGGCATGTGCCACCATACTTGGCTAATTTTTGATTTACTGTAGAGACGAGGTCTCACCAAGTTGCCCAGGCTGGCCTCAGACCTGCAGGCTCAGGCAATGCGCTCGCCTTGGTCTCTCAAAGTGCTGGGATTACAGGCTGAGCCACCGAGCCTGGCCATTTAAAAAAATTTTTTATAGAGACAAGCTCTCGTTATGTTGCCTAGGCTGATCTTGAACTCCTGGATTCAAGCAATCCTCCTGCCTTGGCCTCCCAAAGTGCTGGGATAACAGGCATGAGCCACTAGGCCCAGACAAACCTATCTTTGATATATATTGCACACATTACTCTTGAGCATTTTCCCTGGAAGGGAAACTTATGGGTTACATATATGTTAATCCTCAGTAGAAAAGGTCTCTCCGGACCAAGTGACGGTAGCAACTGCTATGCCTACCATGTATGAGAACTCAGATAGTGTCACAGCCTTGCTTTCCTAGCTATCAGTCTTTTTCATATTAGCAATTATGGCAGGGATGCTGTGGCATTTCATGGTGGTTTAATTAAACTTCCTCGTTGCTAATAAGGTTGATTATCTTTTCATGTTTACCGGTCACTTGAATATTCTTTTCTGCGAAGTGCCTATCTTTCTAGAGGGCGGTCCCTATTTTTCTTATTGCTTTGTAAGAGTTCTCTCTCCACACACAGACAAAATATAAACTTTATTGGGTATGAAGTACAAATAGCCTTTTCCCATTCTGCGGAGATCCTAAAAAACCTTCAGAAAAGCAGCACACTCCTGGCCTCTCTCCACTTTCCTGAAGTCGTCCTGCAGGAGACAGCGCATCGTGTTGATGTTGCTCAGTATGCGATTCGTGTCCCCCCCCCCACACCAAACGCTTTCTGGCCTGAGTTCCGCC